TTAACATACGGTCAAGTGGGTAAGGATGGACAGATGTAAAGCCAATCGCCGCACTCTAAAAAGAGAAAATGAAAAGCCATCTACCCAGAGATAATATTCTTTCTTTACACTCCTGGGGTCATGGTCATTGATTGGTCTTTAATTAACCACCTTTAATTCACGTATTTTGTCATGCTTACTTTAACCCACATCTTTATAGAAAGTCACCCAGTTATATGCCCCATCCTATGCTATTCTCCTCCCATTTATTTCCTCATCGCCTATTACTCTTGTCTTTTGTAGTGATGGGTGAAGTTTTCACCAGAAAAATATATATTATTAATATTAATAAATTGAAAAACTACAAACGGGTGAAGCTTGTCGCTATTGTTATTTGTTGGCCTCCCCTGCTCCCTTTTAACTTAATTTCTAATGACCCTAGCTATTCGAGTAATATCTAATCTAAAGTGACCGAACAAAATCATTCTTAGTGGAGATATGCATGAATCAATGGGACCATTTAGATGTGGTTCTCTTTGTCCATCTATACGTTCGTTCTTTTATTTTCTTTTCCCTAGTATTAATCCATTTCTTTAGCCCGCTGATGATGAGAGGTCTCTTGTCTATAAATGGTTAATTTTTCCATCGATCAGAGAGGGAGACTGAGCCCATAACTCCTTAATTAGTTCTTCACTTTGAAGCTTGATCCAAGATGTGGAGGAAGAAGAGGAAGAAAGTGAGTAGCCATAATTTATTTGTACAGGAACAGGACGACATCCTCTAAGCAATTGAGGGTGATATGGCAAGTCAGTCATATAGGCAAAGGGAAGGCCACGCCTTTCTTCATGTTTTTTTCCTCTTTTTTTTTTTTGTTCTTCTTTGTGTGTTTGTTTTTTTTTTTTTTCCTTCGTAACCTGAATCAACGTCCTAGTTATATATTCTAAATACTGGCACTGTGTTTTATCCCTTTTTCTTCTTCTTCTTCTTCTTTATGTGCGTGAATCAGTGTGGTTCAGGATGCCTCGCCTGTATCATTCAGAATAATTAACGAGGCATTGACCTTGCCGTAGGTTCTGGTACGTGATAATTGGGCAGTGATCGACCAAGCAAACAAGTGAGCAGAGATT